ATTTGGGGGGGGCAGAGCTTTGTGACGCCGTGTGACTCGGGGAGGGGGGGTCAAAAATCGTCCAAAATTGCGTGACGTCATTTATGGACGGCCCCTTAGCCAGGAGATGGTTTAAAAGCCCAACGAGACGCATGGAAGAACTTCTTTTGCAAGGACGACCTGGGTCACGCGAATGATGAAACACGTGAATGTTGAAGCTTCAAGCGAGTTCAATTACTCATGAAAGTGCTCGCCTCTAAGCACGACCACCACGAGGATGACGACATTCTCCTCTATCCGAGTGCGCAGAAGAAGAATCGATTCGTGAAGCCGAAGACGCTGGAATCGTTTAAAGGCTGAGAAATTCCTTCAGTCATTGACTCCAGATGGCGGCGCTCTACACAACGTCGTCGCCACACGTGGTCACGCGAACAAAGGATGAGGCGGTGCTGGGGGGGGGGGTCCTAGAAAAAAAAGAGGGGGGAGAGGCGGGGTTAGGGGCAGGGGTAGGGTCAGGCGTTGATTGGCTCGTGGTTGTTAGAGCTACTTGAGCTATCATCTTCTTGGTTCTTTCGGTAAAGTCACGTAGAAGGGAAGTCATAAAATAATAAAAATAAAACCTAATAAAATAATTTAATAATATTGCTTTATTACTTCCCTTCTACGTGACTTTACCGAAAGAACCAAGAAGATGAATCCCTGCAGTCACGAAAGCTTTAAATCGAAATCTACTTGGGCTGGTGTGGTTGGGGGTAGTGCTCAGGTCCGGTTGGCTACGGGTGTTGTTCGTGGTTGGGGTAGTATGAGCGTGTGTGTTGGTTAGTATGGTTAGGGCTAAGGCTAGTTAGTGCTAGTTAAATTTTGATTTAAAGCTTTCGTGACTGCAGGGATTCATCTTCTTGGTTCTTTCGGTAAAGTCACGTAGAAGGGAAGTAATACAATAATAAGAATAAAACATGATACAATTATTCTCACGATGTTTCGGCCACAACGCAAGCAGCCGTCCTCAGGAGAAAACCAGGTCCGTCGAGGCGACAGAGTCCGAATGAAACAGCACACGAGCTTGGAGCATATATATATATAAGCTGGGCGCCTTGACAAAGGAATTTGCATATCAAGAGGAATTTAGCATATTTATTTGAATTTCTCATATTTCGCCTGCAGGGCCCCGTCAGTCGCTTGTTCACCAATCGTTGCGATTCGCCAGATCGTCGGCGAAAGCGTTGCCAATGTCACTCTGCACGTGTACCATGGCCGTAATTATAATATACACCCCCCCCCCCCCAATATTCAAATATGCTCAAAATGTCACCCCCCAATATATTGCTATATAAAAAAAATGATGCTATGTAAATAAAAGCAACAATTTGCTAAACCTTGGCCTTCATATAAATCAATGCATAGATTTCTGTTTACATGATTGTGGTCATGGTTGTACTTTATTAATCCCTAATCTCTGCCATTACATACAATGACACAAGAAATGGTTAAAAACAGTTAAAACAGAGCAATGTAATACAATACATTATTAGACATTATTGTAAAAAAGTAAATGAAAAGTCCATCCCATGTGTTGGTGAATTTTTTAATTTTTTAGATATTTTTCTGGGTTGGGACCTCCAGACACCCTGGCAGATTTGGTCCCCCCCAATGTTGACTCCATGGCTACGGCCTTGATATGTACTCATGTTGAACTTCTTTCGCACCGTACGTAGCCAAACCCTGCTAATCGGTGTGATGCCAATCTCTGCATCGTCATCATCCAAACTGGAACACTTCGCCCATGCGTTCTGTCAAGTTCTGTCAAGTTGTGATGTTGCCTTTTTATTCCCCCCGTGTTTACTCTGGCCAGCAGAGTGCCGAGTTAGCAGAAACTCATGCCGACAGCCACTGACTCCGAAGACATCGTAAATAAAATTACAGCGATTATGATGATGATAAACTCCATAATGAATTGAGTATGCAGGATTGTGCACGCGAGCAGGAAGTGTGGGTGGCTTGCGTGTTTGCTGGCAGTCGGTAAACTCAGCGGTTTGCGCTGCGCTATGAAACCGGCGACACGAGTTCGATTCTCGCTCACGGTCAAAAACAGTGGCGCATATACGAACCGGTCCTGGGGCTCCACTAGGTCGACTCAGCCTTAAATGACTAACCGGGTGCAGTGTGCAAACATCAGCACCGGGGAGACAAAGGCGGCCGGGCGTAGTGCTGGCCACCCACCCCGTCGTGTGTCGTTCCGGTTGGGTGCTCGTTAACAGCACTTGCCCCAACAGTCTGTTAAGGCTATACGGGGGATATTTGTATTTGTTTACCCACGCACACCTACCCCAGCGGTCTGTTAAATGTTATACGGGGCGGTACTTTGTCTTCGTATGCAAGCGCGTGCGTGTGTGCATGGGGTTAGCGGTCGTGCAGCAGTTAGCGTGCTGCACTGCGACCCGAGTTCAAATCAACTTCAAGTGGGAGCCATATCGGTGTGCAAAAATCAGCACTGTCAATACATATGATAATGCATTCATTTAAATAGCCTCTATAAAGTCAGTGGCAGACCGTCGTACAGACCGGGTGAACCTTTGTCTAAATTACAATGAGGGAGCTGAAGCCTTGCTGGCTATTCGTCTATGCCCTCCACCACGCCATCAATCTGAGCTCAAGTTTAGGAGTTGAATAAACACGTCTGTAGGAAGGAGGTTGTTTTTATTCGTATGTGTTGGATGTAAGTAGTTCAATTGACCCCTGCTGCCGCTAGATGACGATATACTTATCTTGCCACCTTGGGTCCCAATGGTGGCAAGATGTGAACTTCCTCGCCTGGTATGGAGGAGGTTGTGGGTTCAATCCCAACCCTGACGCCTGCTCTACATTTGTAGTTTGCAAGGTCTCCCCGTGGTCGCGTGGATTTTTCTCCGGGTGCTCCGATTTTTCCCTCCAATTTAGAAACATGCGTTTAGAGTATTTTGTTTGCTGTAAAATTCCACATGATAAGCCACTTCGTTGAGCTATCATTTGTGGCCAGGTCGCTTCTGAAAAAGAGCTACATAGCTCAGTGGGCCTTACCTGGTAAAAAAAAACATTGTTTAGTTTTCAATGAATTTTAAAATTTATTAGATATGTTTTGTGACTACCGATTAATTAACGGAACCCACGCACACTGTCCGATTGAATATATTCAGGAGATTAATCTCAACACCGAGGTCTGCTGCCCACGACGAGAGGGCTTCAGAAGCGAGAGACATTGTCTAGTTTTGCTGTTCCTCCTCCGTTGTTGGAGCTAAGACTCTCGCGGTTTGCAATTTTTGTCTATAGTTTGGTTTGTAATATGGTCTATACTTTTGATTTAAAGCTATCGTGACTGCAATGATTCATATTCTTGGTTCTTTCGGTAAAGTCACGTAGAAGGGAAATAATAAAATAATATAAATATAAAACAAAAAAAATTCTCACGACGTTTCGACTGCAACACAAGCAATCATCATCAGGTGTGAAATCCACAGCAAGAATTTTTTTTAAAAGGTGGATTTCACACCTGATGATGATTGCTTGTGTTGCAGTCGAAAAGTCGTGAGAATTTTTATTGTTTTATATTTATATTATTGTATTATTTCCCATCTACGTGACTTTACCGAAAGAACCAAAAATATGGTCTATACTCTATAGCTTGAGTTGCAATACGGTCTGTAGCTTGGGTTGCATAGCCACAATGTACAAGAGGAGTACGCTCCTCTACGCGTGGCTCTGTCGCCACCACGTGGCTCAACGCGGATTTGTAAATGCAGAACCCAAATAAATGGGCATGCGATTAAAACATTACGGCCACAAGGTAAAGGTGCAGCCCTGCAATTGCGTGCTCACCTCACTGCTGGAGGAAGGGCCTCCACTATAGAGGGAGCTCTCGAGAGCCCCCTCTTACGATGCTATTTTGGCCTTCTCTTCCTCGCTGTACCGGACATCCTGGAAAGACTTGGGAGTCACCTACACCAAGATACATAGAGAGAGTAACACAGGTACAGAGAGGGAGATCGTCTCTGTGGGGTGGCCTTAAATAGACAGAGGGGGGCGGAGGCAGAGAGAGGGAGGGGTTAGAGAAAAAATGTACATGTCAATGAGTACGAAGAACGCGTAGTAAAGTACGCAGGCTTGAACATTAGGAGAGAGGGAGAAAGAACACACTAAATTAAATAACCTAGCAAAATATCGAAATGTTATGTATACAACACAGAGAGTCGGTCAACACACAATTAACGCATAGCCTAGTCGATTACGTATTTCAAAGATTGCTAAGTTAGAATTTAAGTGTGAAAACTCCAAAGAAAGACAAAACATAAAAATAAGAGGAACGGAGACACACAGAGCAGAACATAAGAACGACAAAAAACAAGTGTAGACAGAAAAAATTACACTAAATATACAGGCAGAGAGAGAGAGAACAAAAAACCCAGAGAGAGAGAAAAAGGTAAACTTGGAACTTCCCCGTAGAAGTGGTTCAATCTTAATTTTGGAGCTTTCGTGACTGCATGAATTATTATTTGGTTCTTTCGGTAAAGTCACGTATAAAGATAAAATAATAAATAAAATAATAGCATACGACGTTTCGATTGCGTTTGAGTCTCTCTCTCTCTCACCACTTATTTCCCTCCTATACACGCGTGGCGCTCCGACAGCCAATGTTTAATGGCGTCTTATACATCTAAATTCTTATTGTCGTTGTTGTGTGTGCCGGTGCCATGTTCAACATCGCATACATCGCTCGCAGATGACTTCCTTGGATGGTCCCTTACTTGGCAGACAAACAGCCACGTGCAGGTCGGAGCTGAGTCGACGTTGCGCCGCACAGGGGCAGCTGCCGCCCCCCGTCCCCCCCGCCTGCCCCCCACGAACATTGCCCTCCCCCCAAACCCCCACCCACCCCCCATCACCAACCTCCCCCACTCCCCCACTCACCCACCCACTCCCCCACCCAGCCCCCAACACCCCCCGATACACGCACGATCGCCCAAAGCAGTCACCCACGCAGTCTACACGACGGAGCAGCCATCAGCCTTTATTAACACCAAACCCTACAGTCTGCAAACACACGGGACAACACAAGCATACACAAATGCATTGCCAGTCTCACTCCACTGCTGGATGAATTAAGGTATCTATCCCCCCCTCCCCCCACTAGACATGCACTATTCGTTCGCGGCTCCTGTCGGGGCAGCTTGGTTATGGCCAGTCCCACGTGCTGCCCTCCGTTTCACCTCTCCCCCTTGGTCGTCCCACACCACTTTTCAAACAAAGCGACGTCTTCGTCAAACGCGCAATCGGGCCCTTTGCTCGTCTCCGAATTGTGCGCGTGGGCCGTGAACGACCAATATTATTATTATTCGTAGTTCGTACATTTTCGGTTTGAATCGTCGTGTCGCGTATAATGCCAATGTTCAGCTATACCCTCCGCTAAACAAATCAAGTCGCCACGTGGGCAAATCGCACGTGGGCAAATCGCACATTGAGATTTGTATTCCGATTTGATACTGGTATGCCGACTGAGGTTGGCTGGTCGATTGAGATTGGGGTGCCGATTGAGATTGGTATGCCGATTGGGAATGGCATGCCGATTGGGAATGGCATATTTTGACAATTGTCAATATTTTATTTGCTTTTCAACAATCCTCCGGTTTGCTCCGATTCTCGCCGTTGGCTACGAGCAATGCGAAAGAAGTTCAACGTAAGTGCGTAGATACATTGCTGAAATAAAACAAATAAATTCACATACTTACCCCCACGTGACAACTCGTTGTTGATTGGCCTGGTCGGGTGGCAGATGGTGCAGCTGAACATTGCCATGATGCCTCCACGATGATCTTACCAAGAATTAACTCGCTATGTTCATCTCCTGTTTACAAACTTGCGCCAGTTGTGGGAGGAGGAGGAGTGGGGGGGGGCTCAGAATTTAATCTGTCGGGAAACTCTCTGTTGACTTCCCCGCAAATTGGTACTTGAGGAGTGTATGATGTGGAATCGACTTTGCATGCTGTTGGTTATATTGATGCTTGATTCTGCACTGTGCAAGTACAGATCAAAATTGTCTATGAAAACGAATATTTTGCACACACACACACACTGGACTTATAATTATGTGTGAAAAAGTTACATCTCTTATAGGAAACATACCCTTATTCTCATTGACTGTGACTTAAATACATTTAAACAAAAGAGGGACGTGTACATTATTGGTGGTGTAATGGTCAAACGATTATGTTGTGATGTATTAAGGTCACGGACACCACACACACACATATGGTGTACAGATTTGCCCTGGTCTTCATAGGGATGTGTTCTTTTCTTTTTTAACGGACTTAGAATTATCGATCGCATCTTATCGATCATCCGAGTGGGTTTATATGCGTTTGAGTAAAGAGCCACGCAAACAAAAATAATTGAATTGTAAGCCCCGTGACGACGGAAGGTCGGTGTTGCGGGTCGGATGACTTCGTGTTTGACTTCACTTGAGCTCCATGCCTCTGTTGCTTTACCTAGAATACAGAAAAAGAAGCAAAAGACAAAGATCCCCCGTATAGCCTGAACAGACTGTTGGGGCAAGTGCTGTTAGCGAGCACCTATCAAGGCCGGAACGACACAGGAGGGGATGGGTGGCTAGCACCACGCCCGGCCGCCTTTGTCTCCCTAGTGGTGATGTTTTTACGCACCGCACCAGGTACTCGTTTGAGGCTGAGCCGACCTAGGGGAGGCCCAGGACTGGTTCAGATAATCGTCACTGATATTGACCGTGAGCAGGAATCGAACATCGGGTCGCCAGGTTCGTAGCGCAGCGCAGCTAACAGCTGCATTCAACCGAGACACGTGGAGAGCCGTCAGCCCCCACCGCCTCCTACATGGCCACGGCCACTTACACCACGAACGCTGCCCACAGGACGAGCGGCGTTAAGTCGACGTTTCGGGCAATGGCCTTTCACATCACTTTGAATGACCATTGCCCGAAATGTCACCTGTCGTTCTAAGGCCACAGTGATTACTGAAGATTGTTTAGTGGTTGTTGTTGTTGTTTGTGCTCTGGTGCCAATGCAGCAGTCTCACCAATAATGCGTTGAGTTGTGCGAGCTGTGGTTGAGAAAAGTGTAATTATTCACTCCCCAGAAGGCCGTGGAACCGGTGGGTTGTGTCAGAAATACTTTTGTTTTTAGTTGGGTGGAGAGACGGGATGCTCTTCTTGGTGTGAGACACAAGGTTCGTCTGACTATCTCTCTTTGTTGACGACGGGCAGCTGCAGCTCCTTCCCGCTAGGCGGCGGTAGAGACATCGACACGGGCTGAGAGTCGAATGCATTAAAATCCAGGCAGCCCGCGGCACAACACATGCGCAGTGGATTACTAAATTAATCGATTCAGGTGTATTATTGGGTCTTGATTTGAAGCTTTCGTTACTGCAGCAATCCATACTCTTTGGTTATTTCGGTAAAGTCGCGTAGCTAGAAAATAAATAACGACGTTTCACGACGTTTCGGGCGCAACGCAAGCACCCGAAACGTCGTGATTTATTCTATTATATATCTACGTGACTTTACCGAAAGAACCAAAGAGTATGTATTATTGGGCTTACAATATTCTAATAACCTCGATCGAATCGTGCGTGCATCAACGATCAAGGAAATAAGAGTATGTATGCCTCGCGCAGCATTATCCTTCTGGGCATCTGTGAAAGAAACTGGATTACGGATGATATTGTTCGCGAAAGTCGACGTGTTAAACAAACTGGACATCTGTGAACAAGAGCTTCGTAGCTCATCTGATTTCTCTCGTCTCAATTAAGTTTCTGACAATCACATAGCGTGTTTGCGGAGAATATAAATATCAAAAATAGATCAATCTTCAATCTTATTTCGATTATTGATTGTGTAAAACAAAACAACTTGCATTATTTTGGGTATGTATACATATGGAGAGACACGTATGGAGGAGACATATTGTCTGCTCATGTATCTTGTCACGTGTTCCGGAGTTGTGCGTCGAACTCGGACCCATACGTGAACACAGAGAGAGACGGTGCTCGACAATACAGCTGGCATTTCGCCAGCATTATTTTAAGCAAGCCTGCCTCTGCTGACGAGACACCCATTTGGCGAAACCAGTCCGGAGTTTGCGTGTTAAGAGCCAATGCTGCAGAATTAGTTCACTGATGGGATGTGTAAAAAAGATTTATTTTCATGTGGACAGATTTGGGGAGGTGTATCGACTGATTATTGAATTTGTTATGCACAGTCTGGCTGGAGCAATTACTGAACGGGGATCGGAATCAAACGATTGATTTTAGGCGAGAAAGAGCAGGTTGGAGTCTGTTGCTGATGGCGTGGGGAAGCGTTCATCGAGCAGTGGATAAATCACGATTCACCACGATACACCTTGAGTCATGATCATATAGGGCCCACGTAATCCAGCATTTTGGAGGTGGAGTTTGTGGCTCACACAGAGATCGGTGCGGCCATCTGGAATGCCCTTCCTTCCGGTAATAGGAAGCCACTGGAGCTATGCACTTTGAAATCATCATCGAGATTGAAAACTTATTTATTTTAAACTGATGTCCGTGTGTTTAGTTCGTTGCCCTTCCACCGCACCTCCGATTAGCATGGTTGGCTATGTTCTGTGCAAATGAAGTTCAACGTACACACATGTGATTTCGAAAAGTTTTTTGGTTTGGCCATCTTTGTTTGTTGTAGTACGGAGTTAGACTGATGGCTTTAATCTAAGTTAGATTTGAAGCTTTCGTGACTGCAAGGATTCATACTCTTAGGTTTTTTGGTAAAGTCACGTAGGTAATAAATAAATAAATAATGCGGCATTATAGAAATAATAATAGAAATAAAATTTAATTAATATTATTATTTATATATATATTTTAATTTTTGACCTATGTGACTTTACCGAAAAACGTAAGAGTATTAATCTAAGTTGTATTGTGGTTGTTGTTGTTTGACTTGCATCCCACTGTGAGTTTTGCACACAGCGTTGGTGTACGGTGCTTTTTCTGGAGGATTTTGCAGTTTTTTCCTGGATTTTTAAGATGTTTTCTTGTTCATGTTTTTAGTTTGTTGTTTGTTGCGGTATGGCTCACAGGGCTATACCAAATAAATGAAACTAAAACTGGTGCGAGACTCCCATCCGTCGTGAGTTACGAGATGGCCAACGCAGCGAGGAGGTGTATGATCTCTCTCTGCGTGGATTTCGAGCGCTGTCTCCTCACTGGCACCCGTACTCACTGTCCGCCCTGGGAGTCGAAGATCTTCTTGCGTCCCTCCATGCCGGACAGAGCCTCGATGTTTTTGCGCCAGTCCCCAACTTCTTGCCGCTCCTGTGCACCACGAGGCAAAGACAAAGGACCCCCGCCCCCCCAAATTATAGTTTTCGACGGCCTTAATGAGACGAGTGCTGTTGGCGAGCTCCTTGTCGTGGCTGGCGCAACAAGGGGATGGCGTGGCAAGCAGCCTACGCCCCTGGCCAACTTTTATTTTCAGCGCCGATGTTTGCACGCAGCAGCAGGTGCTCTATTTAATTGTGAGTTGCCCAGGTGGGGAGGGGGGGGGGACCTTTGGACCGGTTGAAATATCTCTCGCCACTGATGTTCGCCGTGAGCGGGAATTAAACTCGGGTAGCCGGCTTCTTAGCCTCACGCGCTGGCCGCTGCACCAACGCCCCGCATACAAAGACAAAGATCCCCCATATAGCCTTAACAGACTGTAGGGGCAAGTGCTGTTAGCGAGCACCTATGAAGGCCGGCACGGCACACGAGGGGGTGGGTGGCCAACACCACGCCCGGCCGCCTTTGTCTCCCTAGTGGCGATGTTTACACACTGCACCCGGTACTCATTTGAGGCTGAGTCGACCTAGGTGAGGCCCCAGGACCAGCTCAGATAATCGTCATTGGTGTTCGCCGTGAGCGGAAATCAAACTCGGATCACTGGGTTCGTAGCGCAGCGCGCTAAACCGCGACACTACCGCTCCCCACGAAGACACACACAGACACACACAGACACACAACCTTGTCTGTATCCTCCTTCTTGACGGACTTGAGGTTGGCCCTGAGGTCCATGGACACTTTGTGCTTGGAGCCCAGGAGGGCTCGCAGCATGGCGTCGGCCGACATGCGGACGCGCTTCAGGTTGGGGCGCTTGAACTTTCCCTTGAGGTCGAAGATCTTCTGGTTCAGGTCGGTGATCTGGTAGGGGGGGCGGGGTTGGGGAGAGACAATAACATCCATTGCCACAAATCCTTCGAACCATGGAGGAGCCTGACTGGCATGGGCCCCTGATGTAAGGAATGAAAGGGGGCAAACCCCTTCGAACTCAGTGGTTCAAAGATGTTAACTCCCTCGTCCGGTATACAGGAGGTCGTGGGTTCGAACCCGACCCTGACGCTTGCCACTGCTGTATATTATGGAGTTTGTGTGTCTCTCTCCCCGTGGTCGCGTGGAGTTCTCTCCGGGTCCTCCAGTGTTTCCCCTCCACATTTAGAATCAACAACGCGCGCTCAGAGCATATGGCTGCTTTAAGTTTCCACGTGTTAAGCCACTTCGTTGAGCTGTCATTTGTAATAGCCAGGTCGCTTCTGAAAAAGAAGTTAATAGCTCAGTGGGCCTTACCTGGTCCCCAGTGCAGTTGCACCGCCTGCACACTCGATTCATATACAGTACTACAGTACAGGCCTTTGTCAATCTACTGCTGGATGACGGCTTGCCCACGCCATACGGGTCACGGGGTGGAGAGCCATAGACGTGGACGCATGTAAGTACAGTACAGTAATACCTCCGTTAACGAAGTAGATGGGTTCCGTGGCATCGCGTCGTTGTCAGAAACTTCGTTCCCAGACGCTTCTCTAACAGAAGTATTCACAAACTATTTAACTAACTTTTTCTTCTTGGTTCTTTCGGTAAAGTCACGTAGAAGGGAAGTAATAAAATAATAAAAATAAAACATAATAAAATAATTCTCACGACGTTTCGGCCACAACACAAGCTTGTTATTATTTTATTACTTCCCTTCTACGTGACTTTACCGAAAGAACCAAGAAGATGAATCCCTGCAGTCACGAAAGCTTTAAATCGAAATTTAACTAACTTCCTTTTTTATTTTACCGAATAAGGCCCACTGAGCAATTTCAGAAGCGGCCTGGCCACAAACGACAGCTCAACGAAGTGACCCCCGTCGTCATGTGGACATCTTATCGCAGCCAGAGCACGACGTTGGACTTTCGCTGCGTCGCCCTCCGCGGACCAACTCAACGGCCCCGCGTCCGCAAAGGACGAATCACTTTCGTACCGTCCAGGCTGACAACAACAAAACCATCCTGCTTGGCTTCCGAGACCCGGTGAGACCCGGGGATAGTTTGTGGGCGGTGGGTGGGAGATTTGATTTGCACTGTGGCCGGGTCTCACCTCCGCCTGGGATTTCTTCACTTTGTACTCGATGTCGTATCGCTCCTCGTCCACCACGTCCACCTTCTGGTGGAGCTCCCGGCAGAGTTCCTTCCAGCACAGAAACAGACACGGTGACACGCAGAGACAATGTTCCCCATCCCGTGTGTGTGTTCGTGTGTTAGCGCGCTGTGCTACGAACCTGGCTACCCGGGTTCGATTCCCGCTCACGGCCAACACCGGTGACGATTATCTGAACCGGTCCTGGGCCTCCCCTAGGTCGACTCAGCCTCAAATGAGTACCTGTTGCGGTGTGTAAACATCGCCGCTGGGGAGACAAAGGCGGTCGGGCGTGGTGCTGGCCACCCACCCCCTCGTGTACCGTTCCGGCCTTCATAGGTGCTCGCTTACAGCACTTGCCCCAACAGTCTGTTAAGGCTATACGGGATCTTTGTCTTTGACTATTCTAAGCATGTTGGGACGAGTGCTGTCAGCCCGTTAAGGCCACAACAGCACACGAGGTGGGTGGTGCGTATGATGAACTTATTTCGTATCGTACTTTGAACCGTACGTAGCCAACCGTGCTAATGGGAGGTGCGGGGGAAGGACAACACAAAAAGCAGTTCTACAGAAATTAGTTTTCAATCGAGATTATTTAAAAGTGCGTAGCTCCAGTGGCTTCCTGATATCGGAAGGAAGAGCGTTCCAGACGGCCGCAGAAGCGCATCTAATAGCGCGTGCGATGCGGCGACCGTCTTTGTTCGATGGCCAACCAAAGGCCGCTGCTGCAAGGATGACCGGAGTTCATGTGGTGATTTTGCGTCTGATACCACACGAAGGTGATTACAATGATGACGATGTTGATGGTAATGCTGCTTCTGCTGTTGATGATGATGACGATGACCTTCACCACACCTGCAGCTGCTGCAGAGTGAACCCCGACAGCTGTAGAGGTGGCACGCGCTCCGTCAGCACATTGTTCTTGTCGTCCTCTCGGTCTCGCTTCTCTCGCTCAAGGTCCTCCTGGGCCTTGGCGAGCATCAAGCTCTGCACCGTCGCAAAGACAACACGTCGGGAACGCGTCACGAACACGTCGCGAACACGTCATGAACATGTCGGGAACACGTCATGAACACCTCGGGAACACATCGGGAACACGTCACGAATACGTCGGGAACACGTCACGAACACGTCGGGAACACGTCACGAACACGTCGCGAACACGTCACAAACACGTCGGGAACACTTTGCAAATCCTCATCATGAACACACTGAGAACACATCAGGAACACACCACGAACACATAACGAATAAAAGTAAATATGGTCAGGAGATACACCAGAGGTTGGGTAGAGTTCTTATTACAGCAAGTCGTGGCAAGTCGTGGCCAGTATGCGGGGTTGTGATCGATTCTGATTCTGAGTGTGGTTAAAGGTGCGGCCAGTTCTGTACTAGGGTCTGGTTGGCTCATTAGGGGTAGGGGTATGGCTCGTGTCTGATTGCCTTTTGGGGAGCTGAAATAATTTTGAAGGGCGGCGGTGGTGTGGAGGAGGGCATATATTAATCCTTTAAATACATGAGAAAGATTTTTGTTCAATAAATGTTTATGGTTTTAAGTTCAGAAACAATCGGGCACGAGGGTGCCACTAGGGGAGCACGTGGGTAGGTAGGCTGACACGTCACAAAGAGAATGCATATTCTCTTTGTGACGCGCTCTGCTCGTGGTGACCTTCAGAGGCTAAGCCCTGTTTAGCCATAGCCGCCCCACCACCCAGAGTCATCGTTCAGGTGTCAGTCTTATTCGTTAGTCGATATCATCTGGTTGGAGTCTTCATCATCATCATCTAGGATTACATCTTCATCAACGTCATATTTGTCAATGATGTTGTTTTCATCTACATTGTCATCCAGGAGTTCATCTTTATCATCGCCATCACCTTCGTGAATTTTCGTAACGCCATCATCAGCCTGAACTCGAGCACGAGACGAGCCATTGTCCGCGTCTCACCTTAAGCATGAGCTTGCGAGAAGCCGTGATCTTGCTGACTCTTTTCTGAAAGTGAAAAATAGAACATGTGTTTATAATGATGATTATTATTTGTCAATCCACTGTTAGATGAAGGCCCCCCCATGTCGTGTCAGTCACGAGGGCTGTTTGACCATGCTTGACCGTACTGGTCAGTGTGGGTTAGTGAGGTATCATTCGCCACTGATGTTAGCCGTGGCTCGGAATCGAACTCGGTCGCGGAATTTATAGCGCAGTGTGCTGTCCACTGTGCCACCGCTCCACCCCAAATCAACCGCTGTGTATTTTTTTACGTGAATTTATAGACGCAAGTCCATATCTCCACATCAACGGCCTTTTGCCTTTCGAGACGAATATTGACGAGCCAGCATTTGTTTACGCAGCAAACTCCGGACGCGTTCTCGTCACCGCGGTCCGCCCTGTTTTCCAATCGCTTCCTGGGTTCGCAGATTTTTCTGGTGACCGGCTAAGGCCCCCGTCTCACCTACGCGTGAGAACTCCGTTTAATCACCGGCGTCGTGGAACCCGGATTCGAACCCAAGTTCTCAGTTGCTCCAACTCAAGAATGTCCCCCCCCCCTGACGCGGCAACTGAGAGCCGTCTGAGGAGGCCCTCTGCTACCTCACTGCTCACTCGACTGGCAGGTGCGGGATGAGAACGACTTCGCTCACCTCCTCACTGGAGTCGCCCGCGGAAACGCCACCGGGGTGGTAAGGAAGGGAATGGGCGAGACAAGTTAGAGAACTTAGCGTTGATCACAAACGACTTGAAGACCACCATTGGAACCTCATGGTGCATTGTCTTTGAGTTGTACGCCTTTTGGCGTCATCTGGTCCAACCCATGTGAGACTAGGCTCTAAGGAAAGCTGTCTCGGGTGTGGACCAATCAACTTCAAGGAGAGTGCATATATTATCAGAGTTATATTTTTTTTGCATTATGGCTGCAGGTATTGTGGTCTATGCAAACATGACTCCTTGTAAAAAAGGTGTCAGTTTTGTTGCCAGATAGAAGGGTTAAAAAAACAATGATCGACTTGAAGACCTTCAACTATAAACTATTCTTGTGTTTTAGCAGGTAAGGTCTCCACTGAGCTATGTGAAGCTTTTTTTCAGAAGCGACCTGTCTATCACAAACGATAGCTCAACCGAAGTAGTGGCTTATCACGCTGAAGCGTATTGCAGCCAAACACTCTAAACGCGTGATGTGGAATCTAAATGGGGAAGGGAAAAACCTGAGCACCTGGAAAAAACATCCACGCGACCACGTGGAGAGAGACACGCAAACTCGAAATAATACAGCAGGCGTCAGGGTCTGTATCAAACCCACGACCTCATGCATACCAGGCGAGGTATTTAACGTCTCACCACCGTGGCACCTCGCACGCCACGTGCTGCATCGTGTCGAGATCTCAGAGTGTACAAGGACACATACTCTTTGGTTTTTTCGGTAAAGTCACGTAGGTGAAAACAAAATAGAATAAAAAATAAATTAAATCACGACGTTTCGGAAGCAACACAAGCATCCGAAACTTCGTGATTTAATTTAGTTGTTTAATTTTTTATTTTATTTTGTTTTCACCTACGTGACATTACCGAAAAAAACAAAGAGTATGGATCCTTGCAGTCACGAAAACTTCAAATCTAGATTGTACAAGGACACGCACGGGGCAAGGGCATTCGCGGGGAGAGTGAGTGAACACGACTCCACTTGAGTTTGTGAGTTCATAGGGGCGCACTTTGGCGAGTGAGATTACACGAGTAGCGCCTGTGGCTATCGTGGTTCTGGCGAAAGATCGCCACCAAACTGCCCGCCGCTGCTTGTCTGTAGCTGTTTCAATGTCTACACCACACGCACGAGGTTCTAAACCCGTAGCCGGACAACTGCAGGATTCGTACGCCGCAGTGTTGATTCTTAAGAGTTAACTTGCTAAGACCCGAGGCACCCAGTGCCAGAATAAGGCCCCTTTTAATTCCTCTCGTTCGGTGTTAACATGGCCCAAAGAGCCGCGGGCATTCATTCGTATGCCGTGAGATGAGAAGTAATGCTCAAGGCTCGTAGTTTCCAGCCTAAGGCACTTTTTAGAATATTTAATGTTCGGCGCAAATGTCCTGGACTGACGCGCCGTATTAAGAGTGTTTAGTATATATTTGTATTATTATTAACGAACAAGGTTTGGACAAATGTGATCGCGGCAAAGACAACTGCTGGGACCGCTTGGTTGTGTTACGACTGCGGTGGACTGTTTAACCTTCGAGCGCGACGTGCATTGTGAACCGGGTGGAAACTTACGGCATCTTGGCTGGTGGAGTCTGACAACGGACGTGAACTCGGGAGACTGTGGGAAGCGAGACAAGTGTGGGCACACACACACACACGCACGTGTCGGGTCAACAGAGCCGTCCCCTGGGGTGCACGGCCAATCGGGGCGACCGCCCCGGGCCCCGCGCTTTGGGGGGGGGGGGGGACCGCGCGCTTCGACGTCACGGTGTGACCTTCCGGTTTCGTTTGAAGGCGTCGAGGGTCGAGGTGGGGGGGAGTTGTCCCAGGCCCCGCACCCCCCCCCCCGGCATGGACGGCCCCGATTGTCAGGCATCATTGATGACCTATTACATATTATTTGAAACCGAGTGTCGTTTTTTTCGACGAATGTTTTCACGTGGGCTTTCAAACCTTTAATTTGACAACACCGTGTCCGTTTACAATTCATTCGATAGGGGCGGGGGGGGGGATGGGTGAGGGGTGGAGAATCACCGAGACCCACGAGTTCGAAATGCGAGTCCCGCTCCTCGATTGCACTCCGTGTGTCTGTCCTGTCCGAACGACTGCCTGCCCGCGTCTCGTCCTCTCTTACGGAGTGTCCATGGGCCATGCGCGCACAGCCGCTTTCTCTGAACTCGAGTTGCCGTCCCGAGCCTCGCCTTTCTCCACGTTCGACATTTGAAGTTGACTCGCGTGTTGCCCCTGAATTCTGCCAGTCAGCCCGAATTCCCTGGGGTCTGTCATCGCTTCACACGCTTGCCCAACGAACAGAAGGACATCGCCACGCGTGTTGTTCTTACAATGGGGGAGGGGAGGGGGAGGAGATGTTTATAGGCGGTGGGAATGTTTTAATTGGAAATCTAAATTAGGCAATTGGGTTTACGCACGGCAGCAATCATCGCCCTGAACCGCGAAAACCTGGCGCGATCATCCTGAATAAGATGCCTGAGACTTGGAGAGCGCTTTCATGGCTAAGCAAGCACTCGTAATAAGTATACTATCGACATCGAATAAGTAGAGAAACGCGACATCTACAGGGTACCTCTACGACGGACCAGCCCGTGTCAGGCGGCAACATCATGGTTACACCACGTCCCACACCAACTACGAGTTGTTTAGCGGTCTATAGAGCTCTGGGTGAAATCGGGGCGACTCACCTCTGGCTGGCTGTCCCTACATCGTTCTGTCCCCCCTACGATCATTTATATGGATACATCTTAAGTCAATAAGCAGGGGGTCTATGTGCCTGCCTGCCTGTCCGGCAATCCATCTATCCTTCCAGGATTCCTCCATCTATTATTACGCTGGGCCATGTGTCCGTGTGTCTGCCTGAAATTCGAACTGTGTAGTCGGGCAACGCGTGCGGGATGTGGGTCACCCATCATGCGGCAACGTCGCACTACAGCGCCATCGTCATCAGCAGCAGCAGCCCGAGTTCCAATGGAACGCGAAACAATAGCGCTAAGATAGTAACCATCACCTACCCCCACCAACGCGCCCAGCCCCCAGCAATCTTTGGATCCCCCTCCCCCCATCCCCCCTTCGAGAAAGAATTGCTCGCCATGTATGGGGCCCGAGCCACGAGGCCGATTGTCGTGCGAGGGTTAGGGGGCAAAAAATAACCACGGCCGCCTCGCCTGGGGAGGGAGTCCTGCTGAGCACTTTCACAATGTCACATTCCCCTGGCGGAGTGGACGTCTGGAATGGGGTGTGGGGGAGTGGGGGGGAGTGGGGGAGTGGGGGTTTGGAGGAGTGGTAATGTGGGGGGGAGTCGGGGAGTGGAGGTATGGGGGGGAGTGGGGGTGTGGGGGGGGATGGAGGAGTGGGGGTGTAGGGGGTGGGGGAGTGGGGTGTGGGGGTGTGGGGGGTGTAGGGGGTGGGGGAGTGGGGGTCTGGGGGAGTAGGTGTGTGGGGGATTGGGGGTGTGGGGGTGTGGGGGGGGGAGTGGGGGTGTGGGGGTGTGGGGAGTGGGTGAATGGGGGGGAATGGAGGTGTGGGGGAGTGGCGGAGTGGAGGTGTGGGGGAGTGGGGGTGTGGGGGAGTGGGGGTGTGGGGGAGTGGGGGTATGGGGATAGAGGCGACCGGGGGCTGCGGGGTGGTGGAAGCACACAACGGCTTCAGGCGTCGCTCGCCGCCACTGCTAATTAATTAACCGTTGCAGGGAATCTAACTCTTGTTGCGGAGCTCATATGTGCACTGCGCCACCGCTCCCACGTGGTCGTCGAATGCGAGAAGTTCGCTGGCATCGCCATTCGCTCACGCCATCACCCTTGGGCAAGTCTCCGTCACCAGCCGAAAAGTCGCCGCCATAAAATTTTCCGAAGATCGTTGGCATCATTCAAATTTACCGACATCCCATTCGCAGCTCCTCTATTCCTGTCCACGTATTCTGTCGGTCGTAATTGGCCCCAATTAACATGACCGGCGTACCGTTATCTTACGCAGCCGACTCTGGAGGATTGCTGCTAATCCTCATCACGCTGCACTCCCTCCACGCCTTTTACGCTCCCTGGATTTCCAGGCTGCGGTCCACACCGACCTCACCTCAAAGAGGCGAACGCTGGGTGATCGTGAATCCTGCTGATATTGCACCCCAGACTGCGGTGGGCACGCTGCTATGTATCAGCTCTGTGCCAGGAATTGTGACTGTTCAAACTTAATTTGGAGCTTTCGTGACTGTAGGAATTATTCTTTGGTTCTTTCGGTAAAGTCACGTATAAAGATAACATAATAAGTTAAATTAAATACTAGCATACGACGTTTCGATTGCAACACAAGC